TGTGTGAATCCAAATGATTTGGTTCTCTCTTACTTATCAAGCTGCAGTGCTGTTACTTTCGTAATAATTTATGTCTTATCCTTATTAATGTAATATAAAAGTAGAGTTTTCATTCACCAATGCAAAGTCGAAACAGAATATGAAATGGTAATCTTATAGACACATAACGATCTTATTGCTGTACATCTATGTATCTCTTTTCTAAGTCTCCTCACTCTTACGTTATAAGCATATCGTAACTGTATTGGTATACTCAGCTATGTAACATTATACAGAGTTACTTGACGTACATGGAATAGTTGAGAAGGGATGACCTTCTGGATTTAGTTTGAAAAACATTGCATGCATCAAGTCATTTGTTTTGGTATAACTTGTGACGATATCATGTATTCCTACCTTCATAGGGTCACCAGTCTATGGTGCTCGTATGAACAATGCCTGGGAAAATAGATTACTAAATTTTAATCATCAACTTTCCAACAGGTATTTTGTACTAACAGCAAGTGACCTAGAGGAGTGGTACCAGAACCCTGAGTCCTTTCATCATGAGCAGGACATGATTCAGTGGTCTGAGAAATTGAGGCCTTGTGCTGAAGCTCTATATATGGTTTTGTTTGAGAACTATAGCCAAGTAAGTAGCAGATGCTCTTAAGCACTTCATGTTCTAAAATGTATGCTAAATGTAACCATAAAATAAGAGCAAAGAAGTCTGCTAAATTTAATCTAGAAAATGAGAAACTGGAAGTCTTCTAACTGATACAAATTGATACTTATTCTTTCTGTCTCCATTGTTGTGAACAGCTTCTAGGACCTATTGTTGTCTCCATCCTTCAAGAGGCAATGAATAATTGTCCCCCTTCTGTTACTGAAATAACACCAGCGCTGCTTCTTAAAGATGCAGCATATGCTGCTACTGCATATGTCTACTATGAGCTCTCGAATTATCTTAATTTCAGAGATTGGTATGCTTTTGGTCTTCTAATGTCTTGACGTTTTCATCTTCTATAAACATGGAACCTTCGTTTTACCAGCCAGCAAAATGTGACAAGTGTTTTTCATTAGTCGATTAAATAACGTGTCCTTAATGGTCGGATGATTTGATTGCAGGTTTAATGGTGCACTATCCCTTGAGCTGTCAAATGACCATCCAAATAGGCGTATCATCCACCGAAAAGTTGCTATGATATTGGGACATTGGGTTTCAGAGGTAGTGTTGTTTTACTTTGGCTTTACCCTTTTTTATGTTGAAAATATTGACAAGACTTATAGCAACTTGCATCATATCTTCTGTAGAAAATGCATCTTATCATTGCTTGAATGATGATTATGGCATAATATGCAAAATGAAGTCTTGCCCGAATAAGTTGAGTTAGAGACTTAGAGGAATAATCATCCCAAAGAAAAAAAAAATTGGCTATTTTGTAACAAGAAATTAATAGGATTAGTTACCTTGTTGATTTTTGCTATCTATTCTACCATAGGTTTTCTTAATTTATTTATTTGTTTGAATTATTGACTGATGGTTTATGGCTAATGATAACAACCTTTCAGATTAAAGATGACACAAAAAGAGCAGTTTATTGTTCTTTGATAACATTGTTACAAGACAATGACCTCGCTGTCAAGGTAGTCTCGTCCTCTCTCATATTTGTTGCCTTTATCTTTTGATCTTGCAATGAGATCGTATTTTACCCCCTGTTTTTTTTTTTGTATTTTATCTGCCTCTAAGATTGTCTGTTAACTTATGCAGCTGGCAGCTAGTAGGTCACTGTGTTTACATGTTGAGGACGCGAATTTCTCGGAGCAATATTTTCTTGATCTTCTTCCAATCTGTTGGGAGTCATGTTTCAAAATGGTTGAGGAAGTTCAAGAGTTTGATTCGAAGGTACATGTTATAACTGCCTCAAATTCATAATAGCACTTCATTCTTGCCATTCTACCTCCTCAAATGAAGCAGACGGCTCTCTATCTTTCTATCTGATTATCCTTTTGTTCTCAGGTTCAAGTTCTGAACTTGATTTCTGTTCTTCTTGGGCATGTTAGAGAAGTCATTCCGTACGCACAAAAGTTGGTGCAATTCTTCCAGAAGGTATAATGACGTTTTTTTCTGTATATGTTTATTCTTATCTTTCTACTCAAATGATGTCTTATTGTCTATGCGTTTGAATTAAGGAAAGGTGTGGGAGGAATCTTCTGGTGAAAGCCTTCTACAGATTCAGCTTCTTGTTGCACTGCGGAGTTTTGTGATTGCGCTTGGTTATCAGTCTCCCATTTGCTATAGCATACTGCTCCCAATACTCCAAAAGGGCATTGACATAAATAGCCCTGATGCACTTAACCTTTTGGAAGATAGCATGGCGGTAAGTCACCACTTCATAATATGTATACCTCGCTTTTCTGCTGATACAAAAATGACGCTGAACTACATATGCAGTTATGGGACACCACACTTTCCTATGCTCCTATGATGGTGCCCCAGCTATTAGCATGCTTTCCCCATATGGTGGAGATCATTGAAAGAAGTTTTGATCATTTACAGGTTAGCTTTTCAATTTTCAAGAAGTTGGATGCTCAAATCTACTGAAAAGCATCGTGTGTCAGTCATACCTTAAGACATTCAAAACGACAATATGCCTCCGTAAATTTTCACTAACATCTTAACCAAAAGTAGGTTGCTGTCAGTATCATGGAATCGTACATCATTTTGGATGGAAGGGAATTTCTAAATATGCATGCTTCAAATGTCGCAAAGATTCTTGATCTTATTATTGGGAATGTAAATGATAAGGGGTTACCCTCGATTCTGCCGGTGATTGAAATCTTAGTTCAGGTGCGTTTAATTTCTCACTTTCTCAATTTGTGCAAACAGTCAACAAATTTTCATGAGAAACTTTTTCTTATGTTAAATTTGTCGTTACGCTGCAGTCATTTCTTAATTACATACCCTTATCTTTTGGATGACATATAACGTATAATGTTTGTCATGACTGTTTATATATGTGTATATGTTTGAAAGTATGGAAATTAACAACTTCTTTATTTAAACATTTGCTCTTGTATTCAGTGTTTTCCTGTGGAAGTACCCCCTCTCATCAACAGCTCTTTACAGGTAAATTTCTAGTTTTCTTTCTGATTGATGATTCCTATTCTTCCTTGAAGCATTTGATGGAGTAGAGTGGCTTTGTTGGTATCTCTCAGAAATTGGTGATTATTTGCTTGAGTGGTGGAGATGACCGAGATCCATCTAAAACTGCAGTTAAAGCGTCCTCAGCTGCTATCCTGGCGAGGATTCTTGTGATGAACACCACTTACATGGCCCAGTTAACATCTGAATCATCTCTCTCAGTGTTACTCCATCAAGCAGGGGTCACAATCGATGACAGCCCACTCTTTTGCCTCACCGACGTTTGGCTCGACAAGGTCAGTGAAGGACGTATCTTGAACAATAATAATTGGTTGTTTGACCAGCTTTCTGGAACTCTAGAGGGTTTTAAAACGGGCTTGGGGGAATCTTTCATGTTGTTAAATGGTCTTTTTTTTTCTATGCTAAGCAATAACTCGTTTCCAATCTGCTCTACATGTTGCATTGCGTATTATCCGACTCATTTTATTATTACATCTACTCTTGTGCAGGTGGACCATGCGACTCCCATGCAGAAAAAGACATTTGGATTGGCTCTTTCCATAATACTAACACTTCGAATGCCTCAAGTTCTTGACAAGCTTGACCAAATTCTTAGGTACAGGCTTACACAATCGAATAGTAACAACTCGATTTATGCTGTATCTATGTTGATTGTGTTTCTTGAAACAGTACATGCACCAGCGTAATCCTTGGTGGAGACAAAGATCTAACAGAAGAGGAATCAAGGTTATATTAAGTTTAATTGCTTGCAGAAGTATATAGTTTCCAAGCCAATTTTTTTATTTGTTATTGAACTGTTAACAACACCAAACATATAATATTATTATCTGAAAAACTTAACGATTTGTAATTCCAGCGGCGACATGAGTTCGAGCAGGTCTCAAGGAGAGGAAACCCCACATAGCAAAGAGTTACGTAAAAGTCAGGTAAAAATCAATATTCTTTCTTTTGTTGTTGTTTTAACGAAGTAGCTTCCACAAAACCACTGATTCTAACGAAGTTTATATATTTTTGGTATCTTGATGTAAGATCAAAGTTTCAGATCCAATCTACCAGATATCATTGGAGACGTCAGTGCGTGAGAACCTTCAGACATGTTCCACGCTCCATGGAGATGCCTTCAATTCTGCTATTAATAGGATTCACCCATCAGAGCTTGCACAAGTGAAGCAAGCCTTAAAACTGCCGTGATTAAATGTGTTTTCCCTGTTTGATTCCTAATCACTTAAACGAGCAGCCGTATTCAAGTGAGTTTATCCTCCTTAGTATTCCTTCTCAAGTCCTTTCATATTGAGTCATGTATGTGTATACGGTATGGTGAGAGATATCTCCACCACTTGAGCTGACTCAAACTACTTCATATATGTTCAGGTCAGTGAGCTTTTCTTCTCTTTACCGTTACGGATTTTGATGGGTGAGCATTGTGTCCTCTGCGACCTTGGCGGTTTGATACATATGTCTTTGGTGAGGGGTGTCTCTTTTAGGCTCCCCGTGGGATTCTTTTTGCCCCACAAGGACAAAAGGGGGGCATGGTTAAAATTTCCTTTTTACTTTCCTATGCTTGAGTTCAAATCATTCTTTCTATACATCGCTTCAGAAACAAAACAATGGGGTCTGTTGTGTCCCAAGATTTCTTATGACAATATATGAAGAGAGGTTGGAGTTGAGTTTCATAATTCACTTTCCTACATCGTTACACATGTCGCGTATCATGATTTCCTCCCCAACTTGGTTGTCCAACACTTCTTCAGTTTTCATTTTGTCTAAACCAAACACGATGAATGATAATGACGTCGAATTTCTTGATTCAATACTATCAGAGTTTTAGGCGATAAAGGCCATATGTTGGTGGGTAGACTACTTAATCATATCGCTTTAATGATGACCAACAAATCCAAAAATGGTAACTAATCACTCTTCTCCTTCGCAGGCTCTTCACTTCCTGTACTGTCGAATCTCTTTTACAACGCCGTCGGTCAACGAGGCAACATCATGATTCTTACCGTAGAATTTCACAAAACTCATCTCTGGACTCATCAAGTACCTTCACCCACACATACACAATATTAAAACTCCACCCGCAACAAAGAAACAATAAAAAAAACAATACTATAAAAGCTTCCTAACAAATACTCTGTAAAAGGGATAATAAGTAGACACGTACATGACGATAGAGTGATCAACGAGATAGTCTGAATCTTCCTCTTCTGTCTTCATGTAGTAAACCCTGTAAGAACGGGCCACCGATTTGATTTCTTCAGGGCTTCCCGTTAACCCAACCAATTTAGGATGAAGCTCTACAAGAAATATATTAAACCATATGAATTTCATATAAAAAAAAAACACAAAAAAGCATCTTACGGAGTTAAGACGATAAATCTTACCTTTGACATATTCATGTACTTGCTCAACTGTGTCTCTTTCAGGATCCACAGAGATAAACACTGGCACCACATCTACTCCAGACTTTTCCTCTGTGTAAATGCGATAGAGCCTTAGCGAAAACTATATATGCCTTGTAAAATTTCCATGGTCCAGTTGGGCTTTATGAATGGAAAATTGACGACAAAAAAATAAAATCTCAACAAGGATCCAATACAGCTCAATTTTTGGAAAATTTGTAAAGTAAACAGACGCCATTGATTCAATTTTCAGCTGAAAATGTTAAACAGAAAGTAAAATTGGAATAGGATTGGAAATGCTGTAACAAGACCCATTACAATCCTTCTATTTTGACAAACTGTTTTAAACTTTTTTATAAGCGTGAGAAAATTCAAAAAGTACTTATGGTAGAGCCTGAAGGGAAACGTTTTGTGAAAATGAAGGCTTCTCATAAAGAAAATATTACATAATCTCGGCACCAGAAACAATACAAAAGAAATAGACAAACAAGAAAAATAATGGTAAATACAAACAAAGGCAGGCTTCAGGTACTTCCGGTGTGAATTCGAAAAACAAGCAAACACTTTGTGGACAGCACTCAATCAGATCCCGGTGAAGGGTAACATCATCATCATTTAACAAAACAAAGCATTTTCAAATTAAGAAGAGAGCTGGAAACGGCCGCTTGGCTTTTTTCTTCTCCATCCCTACCAAGACACCAGAAAAAACATATCATTCAATCATAACATTTATACAGAAGACAAAACTGAGGAGGTGAGTAACATGAAAGGATAAATAGGACTTACGAAGGCAATGTAATATATGAAAGTCAATCCAGCCAAGATAACAAACCCAATTTGGAACACGTTGTACCTGAGATGACATCTTAGTAAGATAAAAAAAAGATAGAGACAGTAAAAAGACTGCTATGTGCCTAAACCGTTACTACTTACTTGTAGAGGTACTTGATTCCTCGGAGTGACTGTAATGTGTGGCCAAAAATCTCCTGAGCTGCTGTGGCTTGAGCGTAATATCCAAATGCAGTGGCACAGAATTGAATCACACTGCAATTTTTAAGGAACCATCAGTTACTTAGGGTTGATATGCAGTAGTGTACGTAGCAGCTGGATATTACACAAACAGACTTGGTTTGACGTTCCAAGAGATGCATGAGTTTATTAATTCTAAACTTTGATTCAGGCATTCGCCCCAAAGACAATTAGATTTAGTGTAGCCTACCTGATGGAACTTAGAAGAATGAGCCCAACATTGAAGAGGAAAGAGTTCATTAGAGTAGCTCCCCATCTGAAAAAAGTTCATATCACCAATTAGAAATTAAGGAGAAGAGAATGAACGCGGTAAAAATTAATAGATCTGGTTTACTTCATTGGATGAATGGTGATGAAGACCAGCTTCAAACCCAGCATCATTGCCCCAGCGATGACAGCCAGTAGAAGGTAGAAACAGAAGAAAGCAAAGGCAGCAGTGCCAAGAAGACCTAGAAAATCCAACACATACCAGCATAGAGTCAGGCAGAGACACAAGGAACCTTAATATAGAATAAAATAACAAGAACAGAAGTATGAACTTACCCCAAACGTCATCAAGCTTAATAAAAACCTCGTTAAGAAAAGGGGAAAGAGGAGGGTCTATAAGTAGATATATGATGATGTGTGCAATCCAAGCAATAGAGACGATCAACCTACAAAGACATACAAATACCAGAGGCTTAGCCAAGCTTTATATAACATCTAGTCAATAAACTAAGGCCATATAACACCCAAAAAAAAACTGTAAAAAAGATTATTATCTTATAAAATACTAACCCTATGATTCCAAGAATAAACTTGGCCAAGTATCCGAGTACAGTGAAAGCCCATGCAGTTTCTGCCTGAAAAGAAAAAGACCATAGAATTTTAACACAATGAATCTACGCATAGTTGTAAAGGACTCTCGTCTTACCTTCTCTCCTTGAGGATACGCTTCTTCTAAGAGGTTCACATCTTCCTCTAATTGGAGCAACTCCTGCAAGTTAACCACATTCAGAGATTCAGAGGATATTAAGAACTTAAAATTCAGGCAGTTTTTCCAGTTTTAATTATGAACCATAATTGAGATAAGATACCAAACCTTGAGAAAAAGTATGTTACCTTTTCAACTGCTTTCACATTTTTCCTCCATGCCCTGCCCTTAGCACCATCTTTTTCTTCCTGACGAAGTCCATCAGCTGCTTTCTTTAGTTCTCTAGCCTTTTTCCCTAGCTCAGTTGCTTCCTGTAACACATGACGGAGTTAACTACTTTACTAAGAAAATGAGAGTGGAAATACTCAAGGTCGAGAAGAACAATAAACCAAACCTTTATATATTGTGATCGAGTGATAACTGCCTTTGGTCGCCGGATGAATGCAGTGATAAGTCCTAATGGTAGGCAGGCAATACCGATGCCACCAAATATCTATAAACAATGAATAGGACAATTATGTTTTTGATTTTTTAATGGAAATCTCAAATTAAAACACCTTACAAAAATATATAACTAGACAACGACATGCATCTCTTTGTTGAGAGGGATGTATTAGTCAATGATGAATCCATAATCTAAGACACTTTCTATCCTATCTTTTCCAAGTATACAAGACAATTCTCAGCAAAACAGAACAAAGTGCATACCGTGAAAAGAACTGAACCAACAATGGTAGCAAGAGCAACAATGTATTCTGGAAAAGTAGTACGCATGGTCCACGTTTTCTCAGATGCGACACTAGCTGTAAATGCTGAGCACTGCATACCAGAGAAAAAGTATATGTGTTAGAAGCTGAAAGTTGCTACGTCATAAACGAATCATGATGAACAAAAAATGCCAATGGCGCAATCAAGAAGCAAATTACCTGGCGGGCGTTGTTACCGATACATGGTTGATCGTTTGTAAATTGCCAGGAGGTAGGGAAAGAGGTCGTGCCAGAAGCCAAGTGCCTGACGGAGAAGTCCACCTTTCCAATAACACCTAACATGATGAAAAAAGAGAATGAGAGGACAATCCAATAAAAAGAAATTATACACAACCATGAACGGCTCATTTAATTAAAACTCAACAAGCCTGAAAGTTTATAACTTCTGTAGGTAATGTAGAGATGCTACCAACAATTATAAGCTATTCCTAGCACAAACATTATGTAAAAGAGCATAAGGAGAGGGAATCACATGACTACAAAATTAAACATAACCATGAACGACTCATTCAAAACTCAACTATCCCTGAAAGTTTAAAAGTTATGTAGGCAAGATAAAGATGTTACCAACAACTATAAGCTATTCCTAGCACAAAAATAACAAAAGATACCAAAGCAAGCCCTAATCAGGTAACTTCTCAGCTGAAATCACACACAAATGCAGACAAAAGATGCCAAATCATAGTGAAAGTAAGACAAACACCAGATGAAGGTCCACACTACATGCTCGCTAATGGTTTTATTATGACTTAAAGACTCTGAAGTTCAAATCAAAAGAGGAGCAACTAACCGTATAAGATTCCGAGCACCAGAGCACAAACCAAAGCCGTGCTTCCCACCCAAAGTAGGGAACTTTTAATCCTCTTTCCCAAACTCCTGAAAGAAAAACAAAAATTCATCAACATTCAATTAAACAAAACACAAAAAAATCTCAATTTCAATAAAGACACGAACTTGTCCTGGTCCCCTTCATAGAAAAACATAGCGAAAGGGATAACAAAGAACACGAGGATAGCGTCAACGATGTAAACAACAAGCCAAAGACTCTTCATCGGCAACGTGAGATTACACGCTCCGTTATAAACCGCGTGACGACACGCGTGCCGATTCGCCACGTCAGCGGGCAACATGAGGATCGAGATCATGGCGATGGAGAGGCCGAAGACGACGACGAACTTGGGGAAATAAGCCTGGTTCGCATCGTCTGGATGCTGGTAGTTGACGAGGAGGTAGATGCTGGAGATGAATACGATGACGCAGACGACGATCGCGACAATCACGAGAGCGAGGTTGAAATCGCCCATCCGATTCGAGAGGTTTTCGATTCCCGATTGGAGAATGCAGTGACCTAATTGAAAAATCTAGGGTTTCGAAATTTTGAATTTGGGGATTTTTGGCAGATCTGACTTTTGTTTTAGTTTTGTTTTTTCTTTTTTCTTCCCTCGGCGCTCGAAAAACCAGACAGAGAGAGAGAGAGGAAGGATGGTGATGAAGATTTTGGTAAATTACTTACTTGCCCTTACTTATATGATGTATTGGATATGGTGCCAGTGCCAGATGGTTATGGGTATAAATGTAATTGTTTATAGGGAGTCTAGCTGTACGAAGCACAATGATTCAGACCGCTAAATGAAAGTGATTTTCAGGTAATAAACACTTAAAACGGCGCCGTATGGTCTCAACTGTTCTAATTTATATTCAGTGTTGGGCTTATGAAACCGATTACACTTTTAGGCCTTAATGGAGTTGATGGCTCAAGAAGAAACATTTGTAATTTTGTATCCGGTTGACTTTCGTATAAGTAAATGAAAGTGATTTTCAGGTAATAAAACACCTTAAAACGGCGCCGTACGATCTCAACTGTTCTAATTTATATTCAGTGTTGGGCTTATGAAACCGATTACACTTTTGGGCCTTAATGGAGTTTATGGCCCAAGAAGAAACATTTGTAAGTTTGTATCCGGTTGACTTTGGTATAAGTAAAACCGAACCGAGTAAAACGCTTCGTAAATTAAAATCACCACGTCGTTATACATCTAAACCGGTACGGTTTGATCGAGTTGAGTTGTTGTAACTGAAGAAGATCAAGTTGAGAACAACGAGGAGCAAAATCGGAAGAGAGCAATGGGTGTCGATTATTACAAGGTTCTTCAAGTGGATCGAAACGCGAAAGATGACGATTTGAAGAAAGCTTATCGCAAACTCGCCATGAAATGGCATCCCGACAAGAACCCCAACACCAAAAAAGAAGCCGAAGCCAAATTCAAACAGATCTCCGAAGCTTACGATGTAAAAAAAAAAAAAATTCTCTTACACAACTCGCAACGAAACCCATTTCGTGTCCCATTGAAAGTTCCAATCTTTTTTTCTCTCGAAATTTTCCGACAAAAGTGTTAATGATCTGTTTCTTAATTCTTATGATGTTTTTGATTAATTGCATTGCCTCTAAAAGGTATTGAGCGATCCTCAGAAGCGAGCAATCTACGATCAATACGGAGAAGAAGGTCTAAACAGCCAGGCTCCGCCTCCTGGTTCCGGCGGGTTTCCGGGTGGTTCAGACGGAGGAGCTTCGTTCCGGTTCAACGGAAGAAGCGCTGACGACATCTTCTCGGAGTTCTTTGGCTTCGCGAGACCATTCGGTGACACACGTGGCGCAGGTCCTTCTGGTGGTGGGTTCAGGTTTGCTGAGGATGTTTTCTCTTCTTATAGGTCAGCTGCAGGAGAAGCTTCTAATGCTCCACCGAGGAAAGCTGCTCCTATAGAGAGACAGCTTCCTTGTAGTTTGGAGGATTTGTACAAAGGTATTACTAAGAAGATGAAGATCTCGAGGGATGTCCTTGATTCCAGCTGGTAACTTTTTTCTTCAACTCCTTACTCCTCTATTCATTGAGGAGTTTAACTGTTTAAGTATATAATTGATTTGCTTGTGAGTTGCTTATAGAGTCTTAACTTAAGAGGGATTGAGATTCGTGGTGTTATCTTGTGTTGTGTTATCTGTTACCATGTTTTAGTTTTGAAATCTGGAGTTTGGAGAATTGGATTAGATATATGAAAATGTGATGTCTAGATATAGGCCTGAGGGTTCAGGTAGTTCGGTTAGTTCCATTCAACATAAATCTTACTGAATTAACCCAAAATAAAGTTGTATTAGGTTAATTCGGTTTTTGAAAATCCTACAGAATTTTTTTATTTCGATTATATTTTGGTTTAATTTTGTTAAAATTTCCGATAATCGGTTAAATTTGGTTACTTCGGTTATTTTGGTTAGTTCAATTTGCGTTTTTGGTATGGTTTAGTATAATTTTCCTTTTGCTTTTTAAGAATACTGAAGTAACCAATTGATGAACCAAACTGAAGACTGAACTTTGAAACAAAGCTACCGAATTGCACCGAACTAACCGAATTAACTGAAAATTCTGGTTTGGTGGGTTCGGTTCGGTTCAAAAACCCAGCCTGACTAGATATAGAATTCTGGACGCTTGGGATCATGTTTAGTAGTTATGTAAAGACTAAGCGAGTCTGAGAATATCCCTTTTGCACTTTTGAGACATTAGAGTTACTTCTTTGTTTACAATGCAGGAGACCCACAACAGTCGAAGAGATCTTGACGATAGAGATCAAACCAGGATGGAAGAAAGGAACTAAAATAACCTTCCCTGAGAAAGGAAACGAGCAACGAGGAATCATACCATCTGATCTTGTATTCATAGTTGACGAGAAGCCACACGCCGTGTTCAAGAGAGATGGCAACGACCTTGTGATCACGCAAAAGATCCCTCTCGTGGAAGCTCTCACTGGCTACACTGCTCAAGTCACGACTTTAGATGGGAGAACACTAACGATACCTGTCAACAACGTGATCAGCCCTACCTATGAAGAGGTTGTGAAAGGTGAAGGCATGCCTATCCCTAAAGACCCGTCAAGAAAAGGGAACTTGAGAATCAAGTTTAATGTTAAGTTCCCGTCGAGGCTAACGACAGAGCAGAAAACTGGAATCAAACGGATGTTTTCGTCTGCTTAGATATGATTTTAACTTAAAACTATCTGTCTTTCTGCTACGTTTTTATTTTTCAGTTATTTTGGTTGCATCTTTGGGTGGTCGTTGTGAACTGCGTAGGCTCTGTGACGTTGTAAGATCGTTAGATATGTTGTTCTTACTTCACATTAACTATGTATTTTTTTTGTTCTTTACTTATAACTTATAAGTTTCTATTAGATTGAATAAAAGAAGTTAGTGGGGGTTACTTGTTTGTGTATATTCTGTTGAAACTGTTTGCTATTGGTTATATAATTTAAATATATATATTTAATTACTAATAAATTTGATTTCAGGTTTTTAAATTATTTTTAAAGATTTTTAATAAAAATACAAAGAATCAAATCCTCAGAAAAGTCTCTGTATTTGTAAATAATACTCCCTCCGTTTCACTTTATTTGTCATTCTAGGTTTTTACACACAGATTAAGGAAATATTTAATTTTACATATTTCCAAGATAAAAATACAATTACCTATACACCTAACCACTTTTCAACCAATAGAAAATTAGAATATTATATAAAACTAATAAATTTTGCCTCGAAACTTTAAAACGACACTTAATTTGTGACAAAAAAATAAGTCTAGAATGACTTATATTTTGAAACGGAGGGAGTACTAGTTAAAAAATTCACATCTTATTTGAATTTATGAATTTTATATAAATTTCTAAAACCTAAATACACTAACAAATAAGTGATAACACACTCTTAATATTTTTGAAAAAAAAATTGATTAGCTTTATAACCTCATATGTTATACAAACCTTAACAAAGGGATTTCCTAAAAAAAATGTCTAGGCAATAACATTGTAATACAAACTTTATACGTTTGTTCTAACAAGAGAAATTTGCTCTCCTACCAAAAACCTTATGCGATATTTGCGATATACCCAAATCGAAATCGACCGTTACTGTTTGTGATGTTGATTTACGCATGTACCCTTCTGGTATCAAACCTCACAGCTGACCATTTTTTACGGGTAGAACCACTATTACAAGGCAAAGAGAATTAGATTTGTAAGATTTACCAAATCTTTTCTGTCAGCAGTAGCCGCGTAGATACCGAGAGAGAAGAGTTTTTCAAACCTTCTTCTCTACCCATCTTCGTCTCTACCCCTCTTCTTCTCCAACCAAAACTTTAGAACAAAAAATTGGGCAAGAAACTCGCATTAACGGGAAAACTTGCCACAATGGAAGATAGCGAACAGATTCCACCGTCTCTACTACCGGAACGAGTTTTCGCCGTCGGGGAAGAGCCCACCGGTGTTAGGGTAACTCCTTATCACAAGGCCAACGCAATTACGAAAATCCTCAGCGGCCTTACTCCCGATGAAATTGATGAGGTTAGGGGTTCTCCATTTGGGAAATTGGTTGAGATTTGTGACAAACCAAGTTTCTCCGGACGATTTGGGAGATACTTATTATCACGGCAGCTGAAAGTGGTGAAGAAGCATGAATCATGGTTCTTGTTCGCCGAGAAACCTATTAGGTTTTCGTTGAGGGAGTTTGCTTTGGTCACTGGTCTTAACTGCAAAAGGTTCCCAAAACCAACGAAAAAGAAGACTAAGAAATCCGTCGCAGAGACACCCTACTGGTATGAGCTTTTTGGAACACTCACCAACATTCCTGTTTCATCAGTTGTGAAGATGCTCCAGAAAAAAACTGTTGTTGATCGTGAAATGAGGTTAAAGTACGCTTACCTGGCTATTCTTTCCGCTGTCTTACTTCCCACAACTCATACACCACGTATCTCACCGGAAGCGGCTGAGATGATTAGAGATCTTGATGCCTTTTTTGCGTATCCGTGGGGAAGGGTGTCTTTCAATTTGTTGATGAGTAGCATTAAAGAGAGGAAGGAGGTTTCACTTTCACAAAACACTATTGCTCTCAAGGGGTTTGTACTGTCCCTGCAACTTGTAATGGTTGAGTGTGTACCAGCGTTGACTGAAATTGTAGAGGATGGAAGTTCATCTTCTTCTGAAGATGATGATAATACACATGTGAGCGAGAAAGGTGGGAAAAAAAGTATTAGTCCAGGCCATGCACGCGACATTGATGCCACAGGAAAGGTATTTGCTCTATTACTTTCATTTTTATTTTCTATAGGTTGTGTGCTTGTGTAAAAGACAATGTCTCATTTTATGTATGCTATATGATTTCTTTTTACTCTTCCAGGCTTTAGTTCAGTCGATCATGTTAGATCCAAATGGTGACACCACTTATGATGCAGACTATAATTGGTCAGACGACGAAGAAGACGTTGGTGTTGCTAATATGGTTAGATTGATCAACCAGCGCCACAGTTTCTCTGCCAAAGACTTTGTCGGTGGGTCAACTAAATTTGAAGTAAGCAGGATGCGTGAAGAGGGTAAAGTACATCTCCAAAATAGGAAACCTGGAAAATCAAAGGCTAGCAGTAGTTGTCCCAGTCAGGATGGTGTCAATTTTGATGTCGTTGCATCTGTTGTTCGAGACAAACTCAAGGAAGATTTTCAGCTTCTTCACGCCAACATAGCAACAATGCAGGACTCGCTTACTGGATTTACCGAAACCATTCTGCTCAATTTCAGCGAGTTGCACGGAATAGTTCACGACAGTGTCGCGCAAATGACAACACTCTCGGCTATAATTCAGAACTTTACCGCAACCGGACCGCCATTTTCTGGACAAAGGCAACAGAGGCAACCGACAGTTGTTGACGCCAGTACGCAGACCATGCCAGACACTACAGGAATAATATCAGACGCAATTAGGTTTGCACAACGTTCCACTCATTCTCAGGCAGATGTAAGTTTCAATGTAGCCGGTTACAAAAAATTATTATACAACGTATATGTTTTTCCTTTTTTTATGGTTTCCTGTGTGTTTGATAACAGGGATGTGACAATACCTGCGAGAACACAACCACGGGGACAGCAGCCACTGGTACCTCTTCCCAACAACAAGTTGCTGCTGAGCAATCGGCACCTATACCGAGTCAATCTGAGGAAGACATGGTATGTTTACTCACTAAAACAATCACTTTTTCTGACCGTCTATACTGATCATAGTTGTTAACCAAGGCCAACTCGAATCACCACTGCAGAACCTTGATCCGGGTTTGTTGTTTCCCAACCCAACCTTCTCCCTTGGACTAACCCAAGAGGAACGTGCCGCCCGTGGAAAGAGTGCTAAGACCGATGCTCCTGATAGTAAATCTGTTACCGAGGAACCGGTTGCCACCACATATGACGAACCTGAAAATGGCTTTCGGAGAGGCAAGAGGCAGAAGGTCCCAACCAAGTTGTTCATGGGGGAGTACGAATGTGATAAAACATCTTTAAACCGTGCTAGAAAGTCCGTTACCGATGCAATCTACAAAGGTGGTGACATAGATTACGCTGCCAAGTTTGCTCTGTTACTTGACAAGATGCAGACGCCATTGTAAGTCCCACCTTTTAATGCACATTGTTATTTACCATGGTATCATTATGCTATTTCGATTACCCGGCTAATATAAAAACCATTCTTTCTATTTTCAAGTTCCATTTCAACCGAAAGTGGGGATATTAATAGCACTGAGCTTTACGAGGTTGTCCAGAGATCCACTCACCTATCAAATAAGGTTAGTCGCATCCAGTGTCCCGATATTGATTATCGCATATCCGCTTTGCATTGTTAGTTATTTTTTCTGTATTGTTTCTTTACCAATGCTTCTGCTCCCCTTAAATTTTTGTCCATCAGGTTGTAGATGTGCTTATGTTCCACACTAGTAGGTTGTTCCGGACTCAGCTTTCTCCAGATCAACAACCCACTTTCGTCTTTATGGATACGAAATTCGTCTCGCTCTTCACCAACTTGTATTCAAAGTTCTCGAAGTTGTCCAGGAAAGAAAACTTCAAATTTCCGGAAGGTCTTACTGGTGTGTTTCGACATGATCCATCGACCGCTGAAGCTGTACGTTTCTATTTCCCATTGAATATTCCCGGAAACCACTGGGTCGGCATATGTGTAGATTGCTCTACTTGGGTCGTCACAGTCCTGGACTGCAATAATCGGGTACGAACAGATTACATGATGACCAAGGATATAAGACCAATTGCGTTGATGTTTCCATACCTTCTCAAGTTTCTCGGTAGAAACGTTGGTGTTCGAGAGGGGAAACCAATGGGTATTGATAGGCCCCGTAACATTCCTCAGCAAAAAGAAGTTACATCTTCTGCAGTCTCATCTGTGCTCTTAATCCAAGGGCATGGTGTAGGAGGTGTTGATGCTTGTAAATGGATTACCCCGGATGCCCTTGATAGCCACGTCGAGCGTCTTCTGGTTTCTCTATATGAAGACAATATTGGGCCGCTGTGATTTGTGCACTATTGCTTGCTCTCTTGTATTCTCTTGTTTAACATATGCCTCGGATAACTTTCAAGTTTATGTTTCTTCGTTAACTCTTTCATGAACGTTGTATTACTCGATTTAGTATTTGAGACTATGGTATTGTATTTAGTTTAACCGGCCAACTCCTTATATCACCCTAGGTATATCCTGTACGTCACCAATTATTGTGTCAAACAATTCAACTACTTATCGTGTGGTCCTCATTATCTATATGTCCCCTTTTCCACTGTACACTTAGGTCAAGATCTACTATATAAAGCATAAGCACCCATTTATTTGGCTTAACATATGCTGGCCCCCTTATTTACGGCTGCTGTTTGAGGGAAACTACCGAAATTTCATCCAGGTAAAAATCTGATCTCTTCTTTTCTTTGTTATCTCAACTGTCCAGGTCATACAGTAACCGATGTTGTCCATATAATCTCCTAGGTTGTATACATGAACCTCGAGTTACGTGAAGGTATACCGCGGAGGTGTCCCTGCGGAGCAGCGACGCTTGTTCTAACTTCAAAGACAAAGGAAAATCCAGGCAGACGATTCTACAGATGCGGATTAGTATTTGGGGAAAATCATCTGTTCAAATGGGCAGACGAGGCACTGTTGGAGGAGATTGAAATACTTTCAGTCAAAAATGAGGACATGGCGAATGATTTGAACGAGATCAAGGAACAACTAGAGGAGCTGAAGAAAGATGTCACGGAGATTGTCGAAATCGTGTCATCTATGTCTAAGAAAATACGCAAGTAATGTCATTTATGGGGTTGTAAATTTGTCTACTTAGCTTCTACTTTGTCTCACGGAGTTTTTATTGAAAAATTGTCAC